CTGACAACAGCTATGATATCCCTTGTTCCACGTCCTCTTCTGAATCCGGCTTGAACCTCTGGAAGTTCTCTGTCAATATACTGCTGCAATCGTTTTTGAATTATCTTCAGTAAGATATTACTTGTGTGTGATATTAATGATATTGTTCAATAATTTCCACATTCTGTGGGATCACCTTTTCTTGGTTCTCTGTAACAGGGATACCACAAGTAGATGCCTTTAACATACAAGGATTTATTCTCTTACAGTTTAGGAAGCTAGAAGTCCCAGTTCAAAGTGTCAGTTCTATAGCCTGGGTGAAGGCCCCTTGACCTTGGGCTTCAGCTCTGCCTCCTGGTCCAGGCCCATTAGAGCTGGAGGCTTTTTCAGACTCCTGCAGCTGCTGGCTACTGAGGCTGATGAACCCAAGATTGACTAGTAAAATGGTATTGTCCCAAGATTAGCAGACAACACAGCAGCCAATAGTTCAAGTCCAGGAATAATAGCAAGGTTGGCAGGCAATATGGCAGGCCACTGAGATGAAGATTTGACCAAATGCATGATCCAAATGTGCCAAAAGCTAGAGACCATTCTCAAAGCTTCTCCTTATATACTAGAAGCAGGTCATACCCAAAAGGCAGCTAAATAACTACTCAGCAGATTCCACCACGGAGCTGATTACATCTCATCATGGGCAATAAGTACATTCAGCTGCCCAGGCACTCAAAACTAAGGCCCAGCCAAGTTGACACACAACCTTAACTACACAGAGCCCAAAAAATGAAAGCAACCCAAATGTCTATTGTCTGATTAACAGATAAACAAAATGTGACATATCCATACAATGGAATATTATCCAGCCATAATACGGAATAAAATCTTGATACATGTTAAAAAGTGGATGAACCTTGAAAACATTCTGCCAAGTGAAAAAGTCAGTCATAAAAGATCGTATGTTGTATAATTTCATGTACATGAAATATCCAGAATAGGCGAATACATAGACACAGAAAATAGATAAATGGTGGCCAGGAGCTGAGGTAGGGAGAGAACAGTGAGAAGTGACCATTCATGGGTACAGATTTTTTTGAGGGTGATAAAAATGTTTTAGAATTAGATAGTGGCGATGGTGTGCAGTGCAATGCAGTGCAGTGAACCACTTAGTATGGCCCTTCTAGCCATGTTCTTTGTGTCTCCTACCAGATGCGTGGGTGGAACCATGCAAATTAGAGGGGCTTGTGGCCCACCAAGCTTGCTGATAATGTAAATAAAATACATGGCACTCTTGTAGGGATGGGACTATGGAAATAAGGTGTATCAAAATAACATGGGGATTGGTCAGTTTTGCCATACTACTAGGCTTAAAATGAGCCATGCCAGAGACACTCCCATCAAAAAAGAAGACACAAGAGTAGAGCGTGTCCTTTGGATCCAAGAAGCTTGTGCTGAATTCCTCTGTCCAGGAGATAGAGAGCTATGACATCAGAGACAGTGCGGATCAGTGGCAAAGAAACAGTAGCAGCAGAGGCAGCAGAACCAACAGACTGGCACGAGAGACAGTGATAGGATTCCCAGCCAAGGAAGCAAGAAAGCTGGTGACTTCAGGCAAGAGGAGTTGGATGCCTCTAGGCATTTATCTATACCAAACCAAACTCCAAACTCACTGCCATTGAGTCAATTCCAACTCATAGCAACCCCCTTTGAGTTTCCAACGTAGTAAATCTTTACGGAAGTAGATTGCCCAGTCTTCCTTCCACAGAGTGGTTGGTGGGTTTGAACTGCCAATCTTCTAGTTAGCAGTCAAATGCCTTAGGCACTACACCACCAGAGCTCCTATGACATTTATCTATAGGCACAGCTAAAAGAGCTTTGTAATACCTGCTGGAGCAAAGCAGAGTCCAGGCCAAGGAGCTGAAGGCCAGAGAAAGACATGCCTTCAAGCACAGCTGAAGTGAGACTGTCTTGATTAAAGAACTGTATCCTGAACAGTCTTGATCCTGAATTGTAACCTGTTACATGTCTAATAAACCCCATAAATGTATGTATTGTCTCTGAGTTCCATGTAGCCATTGCAATGAATTATTGAACCTAGCAGAGAATAAGGAGTGCCGTGGAAGGGATGGTTGGTGTCAGAACTGGTAAAGTGGTTGGCGGGTGACAACATGTCTGACCTCAGCCTCAGAGGAATCAGCCTTGGCCTGTTGATGTTGATCTTGTTCCTCCATTCCCCTTGTGCAGTTAAAGGAGGTCAGATGCCACCTCCATACCATTTTTGCATGCAACCTTGTGAATATACTAAAAACCACTGAATGTGTCCACTTTAAACAGATAGGTTCTACATTACATGAATTAAACTTTAACAAAATTAAAAAAAAAAAAAAAAGACACAGTGACTCTTTCAAAGCATCAGAAAGAACAACAAATAGAGGAAAGTGATAAGGTAAAAAAAATGACACAGAAACTAATTATTACTAAACTTGATAATTGGTGAGAAGTATAGAAAGGATTTACCATAATAAAACAAAAATAGGAAGATAGTTTATGATAGAAGATGAATATTTTCAGAGGCAATTTCTAATAGAAAGGTTTGTTGGATTGTTGTCATTAGTGGAAGATTGAAATTAATATGTTGTTGTTGTTGTCATGTGCCGTTGAGTCAGACCCAACTCATAGCGACCCCTCCTTGGGTTTCCAAGGCAGTACCACTATGGAAGTAGATTGCCCCATCTTCCTTCTGAGGAGTGGCTGGTGGGTTTGAATCGCCAGCCTTCTGGTTAGCCGTCAAGTGCCTTAGATACTACACTACCAGAGCTCCTTGAAATTACTATAATGTAAGAAAATTATAAATAAAAATTTATCAGGGTGCAAAAGACCAAGTAGACTCAAATTTTCCTCCAGCCATCATATTCTGTACAGTAAATACTCTCCCGCCAGCCATCATCTTTACTGTTAAGAGGAAATAGTTTAATTCCTAGAAACAGAAAGTTCTTTAAAGAAAATTTGCACTTAGTTTCTCTGATGACTAGAACTGCACATACAAGCCTTAGTGGGGTCAGCCTAAAATGCCAGAGAAAATAAATTTGTTTTCTCAGAATAACATTCCCATCTTGCCAAAGATGAAAGGTAGAAAGGGGCTTCACATTGGTGGGAAATCAAAACTATTTTTAAAAGCCTGTGATTACCAATAATATTGAGAACTCAAAGCAGAAAGACCATGAATTTGGGTTGTTTCCACAAAATCTCTTTCCCTTCTCTGAAACTTCAACTACCAACTTCTCTGAAACCTGTGAAGCTACCACATTTATAAGCTTACTTGCATTTGTACCTAATTTCTATTCTTTCCCTCCTGTCTCATTTCTGACCTCCTCCTTCTCACTCACTTGTCATGGCCAAGTCCTAGCAGTTCCTCCTCTTCTACCTCTCCCTATCTTAGTTAAGGGCACTCATCTCCCCTATAGGAGCTCTGGTAGCATAGTGGCTAAAGCACTTGACTGCTAACCAGAAGGCTGGCGGTTCAAACCCACCAGCCACTCCTCGGAAGGAAGGTTGGGCAATCCTATTCCGTAGTGATACTGCCTCGGAAACCCAAGGAGGGGTCGCCATGAGTCAGGGCTGACTCGATGGCACATAACAATAACAACAACAATCTCCCCTATGCTCCTAATGAAAGAATTCTGAATCAGTTCTCCTGCACCTAGTTTTGTCCACCTCCAATCTGTGCTCTACAAAGCAAACTTTTTAAGCATAAATGTGATTACCTCACTTCACTCTTCAAATCTTTCAGTAGAGTCCTAGGACCCTTAGGAGCTCTAGTAGCATAGTGCCTAAAGCACCTGACTGCTAACCAGAAGGCTGGTGGTTTAAACCCATCAGCCACTCCTTGGAAGGAAGATGGGGCAATCTACTTCCATAGTGATACTGCCTCAGAAACCCAAGGAGGGGTTGCCATGAGTCGGGTCTGACTCAACGGCACATAACAACAACAAGGACCCTTAAGATAATGCCATTCTTGCACTTTGTTCAATGCTTCATAATCTGGTTATTGTAGATCTCTCCAGCCTCATCTCCAGACACTCCTGTCTCTTTCCTCTTCCAGGCCTCAACTACCGTGAAGAACTTGAAGTTTCTCCAATAAGCCAAGCTATTTTTCCCTTCCACATCTTTATACAAGGAGCTCTGGTTGTGTAGTAATTAAGGCATTTGGTTGCTAACCACAAAGGTCAGTAGTTTGAACCCAACAGCCACTCCACGGAAGAAAGATGAGGCAGTCTCCATAAAAATTCCATAAAGATTTAGAGCCTTGGAAACCAAATGGGGGTCACTATGAGTTAGAATTGGCTTGATGGCAGTAAGTTTGGTTTTTGGACATCTTTATACACAGCATTCTTTCTTGCTGCAACACCTTTCTCCACCACACCCTTCACTCTCTTGTCTGTCTAACTAGTCATTCTTCACAACTCTGCCTAGATGTCACTACAGAGAAGACTCCCCTGGCCCCCTTTTCTCCTTCTACCTCATGTAATCACAGAGCACCCTATGCTATCCCTGTTCTAGTATTGTGAGAAAATCTAACTTGTCCACATACACTTTCTCAGTGTGTCATCCCTAGCATGATACATATGAAATTAAATCATATCACTAATGTCAAGATGGTCTAGGAACATGTTCACTCTGATTCTGAAAAAGAAAGATTGAAAATAGCTTAAAATTTTAAATAATGAATAGATACTTGTAGAAGGTAGGTGACAGAAATACAAACATTTTCAATATACTCTTCTCATTACTTCTGTGTATGTTTGACATTTTCCATAACAATAAATTAAAAAAATAACAAAACACAAATCCTAGCTACAGATGCAGGAGACCAGTCAGAAGTGATTTTCTGGTTGAAAGTAGGTGTCTGGCCTTGTGTACAAAGGGGAGGTCAGCAGCAGAAAAGACTACAGGATCATACCCTGAATTTTGCTGTCAAAAAACACATATGTTGTTTGGTCATCTTGAATTTTCTTCCATTCAATCCTGGGATCATTTGTCTGTGAATCCGTAATGATACAAGACAGTTCTACACCTAATAAGCAAAGGAAAAAAAAAAAAAAACCTCTCAGTGAATATGAACAATTCTAGGCTCCCTTATATACCTAGACCTGCAAGTTACTTCTAGTTTAAGAGAGATCTATCCTACAATTAAAAAAAAAACATAGTCATGTCCAGTTGCCAACAGACTTTGAGAAAAGATTAATTTTAGCCATAAAAAACAATACAGACAATTAGCAAGGACTTTACTCAAACACCCTTCTTGTATATAAGAAATGCCTTTGTTTTTTATGCATAAAGCCAGGGCAGGTATCAATACATACAAGCACACAGCTCACTGTTGGCCAACTGACCCAATGCCTCACTGACATGATACATACCACATGCACTGCTGAGTAGGTGCCCCTAAATATCTCTTTGATATTATATATATATATGTATGTATTTTTGCCCTGGGTTGGCCACAAGATTGTCAAATGTGCATTATATGATGCAAATGCTTTTAGTAGTGTCTGTCTTGTTAAAAAACAAAAACAAACCACAACAAAAAACACCCACTGCCTTCTAGTTGATTCTAACTCATAGCAATCCTGGAAGTCAGAGTAGAACTACTCCATAGGGTTTTCAAGGCAGTAAATCTTTACAGAAGCAGACTGCCACATATTTTCCTGTCAAGTGGCTGGTGGATTTGAACTGCCAAACTTTCAGTTAGTGGTCTAGCGCTTTAACCACTGTACTACCAGGCTCCTTGTCTCCCTTGTACTTACTTTCAAATTCCTGTACCACTGGGGTTCGGTTGCTGGATTTGAGATTCACAGCCCCTATCAAGCAACCTGAAGTAAAAAAGAAAAGTAAAATCAGAGACAATGCATCCTAAGACAGCAGAGAAACCCTGGACTGAGCTCAGGTTTTTCCCTTCTAGGTAAGCTACAATCATCAACAAAGGATGGAAAAATATTATATTCCAAAAGAAAGCCTCTTAGATACAGTAAATTACCTTTCTCTTTGAGCCCAGATTTCACTGGAAGAAGTTGGAGAATTCACTTCTTTCTTAGTTCCAGAAATGAAGCCCCTTTACACCATCAGAGACTTTTCCAGTAAGCATTTCCTTCTTGCTTACAGTCATCATGAACTCCATCAACAACTATTATCTGGACTCACATGGGCCTTCTTCATCTTGTGATTACTCCATCCCAACTTTCCCTCCTCTTCTATGTTGAAAGCCCTTCTGGTACCCTCAGTGCCCTATGAAAAAGTTCAAATAATTCACCTGGCTTTTCCCCCCTCAGTATAATATCAACATACTCTGGATATAGTTCTCAACCAGCTAAGCATCCACCTTGCTATGGTCCAGTCCATGAAGTTTTCAACAGGCTTTGGTGAAATTAGGAAAATATTAACATGATGCTAAGTTTACACTGTTAATGAAATTGAAATATGTTATTTAAATGGTAATTCCCTTTCAAAACTAGTGCATATAGCATCTGATTCTCCTTGTGCTTCACCAAACATTAAAAACCAGCTTACCATAGTCTAGAAATTTCTCACCGGATCTTAGATCAAGTAGGTACAAGACTACTTACAAAATGTCACTCTTCAGCTATTTGGCATTTCATACTCAGAGATGGCCATCATATAGAAACCTTTTCTGAAGGCCCCTGACTGTAGCTTCCTAAACTATCTCAAAAAAGTATGCAGTGAGACTGATACCTTGAGTTGCTTTCTCACTCCTTGTACATTCAGCTGACTACTAATAAACACAATCAATTCTTTTTCTTTATCTTATTTAATGGTCCAGCTAAGAATAATATGACAGAGATAAATTTTGAACCTTTCTTCATTCCAGAAGACTTCAATAATTCTACCAAAAGCCTTAAAGAAACTAACAAAAAGGGATTGAAAATGAAATACAAAGTATTTGAGTTGCTTTTATGTTCTAAAATACATGTTTCTAAAGAAAGCTAAAGAAGAAACTAGGGGAGTTCCGGCAAGATGGTGGACTAGGCAGAAAGACTGCACAGCCCCTCTTCAACAAAGAAAAGGGAAACCAATTAACACAGACACAGAAGATAATCTGGACCCCTGAGCCTTGAAGGGAATGATATAGAAGTGGACTAAACCCCAACTAGCAGAAGAATTGGCATGAAAATATCAAAAAAGGAGACATATGGAGCTGCGGTCTGGCAGTGGTTGTGAGCGGTCCTGATGACACAGACAGCTTGGAGATTCCCGACTGGTGGTAGGACTTAAGAATTAACCTAAAAATCACCCTGCTAGCCAGAGACTGCATGGAGGACTGTGCATGGTGGCTGGGGAACAGACAGAGAAGGTGAAGAGAAAGGTGGGCTGAGCTGTGGACTTTTGCCGGTCCGGAGGATGCCGCCATTTTGTAGGTTTAAAAAGCGGCTTGACTATTTTGGATATTTAAAGAGGCTCACAGGTTCCTGGGGCTTAGGAAC